TACACCTTCCATACGATAGGTCCGAAGTTTAAATCATGGACGGGACGGTGAATATGCAGTACTGATGAGCTTCGATAAGAGTAAAACTCGTATCTAGCGCTTCTAATTGTATGGTTGATTGGAAGAGCTGAGAAACGTGCATGAAGGTGAAGTCTGAAGGATGGTCAATTCCAATCAATCAATCAATCAATCAATCGATCAATCAATCAATCAATCAATATCAATATCAATCACCCTACAACATTGCTCGTAAGTAACTGTGAGTTGATTAGGAATTATAAATAACATTTGTGAATAACATTACAAATATTTCCGTCGAATGGGTGGTGGTGGTGGTGGAGCAGTGGCTTGGTCACTGTCACTCGCGTGCTTTGGACCATATCATCCGAAGTTGAAGCCCCCCCCCGCCGCTGCCAGTGGCCGATTACCATCACTGAATACCAGATCTTTGTAACTATGGCGCTCCACCCTGTCTGTTGTCCATCGCACACTGGCGTGTAATAAACAAATTCAAATGCATTTCCCTCGTGGGGAATTAACGATTTCCCAAGGAGTGAAACCCACACCGAACAACACCAATAGTGCCAGGTGCTTGTGTCAAAAACCGAATGGGCTAATCCAAACATTCAGCGCCAAAATTATTGAGTGTTGCTTACCGAGGCGCATACAGACAGAGGAACAGTAACCGAATGGAGGACATCAAGTCAATCGTGCCAGAACTGATGGTTAGAGTTTATGCAAGCTCCGTCAGAGGAACGGTACGCAAACGTATTCTATTTTATCGTGACGCATTTTCACATTTCATTTGCACTGGTCCACATAACGACAAAGCTTTGTCGAGTGCCTCGTACTACTGCTGAATTCCCGAACAGACTGTGAGCGAATTGGTAAATTGAGAACAAGCGTATTGGCTTATCAAAACTCTGCACTACCTGTCATTCACGGCCAATCCGCGCGCACGGAGTCGGTCGACCAAACGTTTGGCCGCATCCACATAATCCGATTCGTATTCGAACGCGGTGAAGTGGACATTCATACGCTGTGGACGAAAAAGCCGGGGGACGACAAAGTTTATACAATGAAGATGCGTTGGACGCCGGTTTGTAGTTGTCACTTTCCAGGCTGAAAATTAACCTTTTGGGTGCATTAAAGCTTTTCTTGACTTGACTTGATGATAGATAGATCAAGAAACTAGACATGAGTTGGTCTAGTACAGAGGAAACCCCGCAAGCTGAATAACGGCGAACAAAATTCTTTAGGAAAGTTAGTGGAATAGTCTTAGTGAATGATTTTTATGGTTATCTTTTCAACTCATGAAAAATCTGCAAATCGTTCACATTCGCTGTCAAATGCAAGCTTCGTTTCATCTCTGTCGTATTTCGTTTTTGTCGCGTTGGGGTTATTTAGAAAGCAGTATTCTTGTAGTTCGAAAAGTAATAACGTTTTGAGTAAGTGATGGGCGATTGAATATGATGTCCACATCACAGTATTTTATTGGTTCGTAAGGCATCTTGTTCACGTGCGATTACTGTTAGTCAATTGTGACGGTGTTCAATTTACCTGTCACTCAGCTTGATACTATACCTTAGCGGTTGATAATTAGAAATCCGAAGTCTTTGGGTTCGAGTAAGCAAACGCTTTATCACGCTAACAATGAAGGTCTTGGTTTGCTTATATTGAAGAAAATAGTTAGTTAGAAAATAGTTCATGAAACAATCATCGTGCGCAGTAATGGATAGGCCAAGAATATTGGAGCAAGTAAATGTTTTTCATGATAGAGCAAAAGGCAACATCGAGTCTACCAAGCAATTTTCAAATAGAACACAATTTCAGGTGAACAATTGTTTTCAATAACTCATAATCATGCCGTTACAGTGTATATGAGGAGAAAAGACCCAGGGATTGGGAGGAATCGCTCACTTCGTGTGTGTGTGTTGCATACCGCATTCTCAGATTTGCACTTCTGGGGTTTGCAGTTATGTCACGACGGTCATGTGACCCAGTTCTGATGGATCGGTGTTGTTGTGTGAAAATGTGTGTGTGTGTGTGTGTATGTGCAGGGGACTTGATAAATAAAGGGGAATGCTTCACTTGGGTTAACACGATGACCAGT